GACCCCTCCCTGGCGCAAGACAAGAGCCTGCCAGCGGCACCGGAGGCGCCGCCAGGGGACCTCAGCGCCGAATCAACAAGTCCGCGAGGACCTCCGACAGGTTCTGTTCAAGTCGGGCGTGTCCCCATAATTACAAGGGGGATGTTCGAAGAAAAATAAAACATACCCAAAACATATTCCAAAATTGCCAAAAAGTACTCAAAAAATAGTCCCCAGACTATTTTTGGAATATGTTTGAATATTCCCCCTGTAGAGGGACAGGCCCGACTTCAGGTTATGTTCCAGCATCTGTTTCGTCTGCGAAGCGCAGATACGGATGCACCCGTCCCTCGTGAGACTCCTCGCGCGTGTGGACACGTCCGTCCCGGGAGAGACTCGCTCTCGTGAGGCTCCGCTCGCCCCCGCCCCCCCAAGAGAGCGCCCCCGCAGGCCTCGGGGCAGAGCCAAGCGAGGCAACCGCCGGCCCTCCCGCCCGGGCCGGAGCTGCCCGCACTCGACCCCCCCCGCCCCAGGAGGAGGAGGAGGCGGAGGCCTCCTCCTCCTCCTCCTCCTCCTCCTCCTCCTCCTCCTCCTCCTCCTCCTCCTCACCCCTCGCGAGCCGCACCCTGGCCCGCCGCCCAGGACGCCAATCTGGCCGCGGCGACGCAGGCCTCCGGGAGGCCCCGCAGAGCACACAAGAGGCCGCACGGGGGGGGAGCCGCCGCTGTCCCACGCGCCCACCGATGGCACCTTTTCCATCAGGGGCTCCTCCTCCTCCTCCTCCTCCTCCTCCTCCTCCTCCTCCTCCTCCTCCTCCTCCTCCCCCTCCTCCTCTCTCCTCCTCCTCCTCCTCTCTCCTCCCTCTCCTCTCCTCTCTCTCCTCCTCCTCCTCCTCCTCCTCCTCTCCTCCCTCCTCTCCTCCTCCTCCTCCGCCTCCTCCTTCCTCCTCCTCCTGCTCCTCCTCCTCCTCCTCCTCCTCCTCCCTCCTGCTCCTCCTCCCTCCTCGGCCGCGGGGCGCCCTGTTCTCGGGCCGGACGAAAGGGGGGGGACAGGGCAAGGGGTAGAGACCCCTCCCCCCCCCGCGTCTGCGTTCATCCAGGATCCATGTTTGAGGGTCCCGGGGCCCGATGGCGACCCCCAGGAGCCGAAATCAGGGAGCATGATGGACCCGCGAACCCGGAAAGGGAAATAGAACCGCATGCATGGAAACGTTTTCACGACACCGTATTGGGCGACGGGCACTTCCACGAGACACCCCGCGAAACATTCCACGAGACACGGGCGACCGTTTTCAACGTCTTCCTGGAAACATTCCACGAGACACCCCGCGAAACAGTCCACGAGACACCCCACGAAACATGCCACGACGACAGGCAACCACTCAACCAAGGCGGTGTGGTCGTGCTGGGGAGTGGTCGTGCTGGGGTGTGGTCGTGATGGGGGGTGGTCGTGGTCGTGCTGGGGGGTGGTCGTGCTGGGGGGGTAGTCGTGCTGGGGGGTGGTCGTGCTGGGGGGTGGTCGTGCTGGGGCGTGGTCGTGCTGGGGCGTGGTCGTGCTGGGGTGTGGTCGTGCTGTGGTGAGGTCGTGCTGGGGTGTGGTCGTGCTGGGTGATGGTCTTGCTGGGGTGGGGTCGTGCTGGGGTGGGGTAATGCTGGGGTGTGGTCGTGCTGGGGTTTGGTCGTGCTGGGGTGGGGTCGTGCTGGGGTGTGGTTCGAGACATCCTCAACACACGAAAGAGTGGCCCGCACCCTGTGATTTATCGATCGGGATTTAAAACGCATGATGGACCCACGAACCCGGAAAGGGATATCGACATGTGCAGCATGGTCACGTTTTCACGATACCCGACTGGGCGACACCTCACGAAACATCCCACGAGACACCCCGCGAAACATCCCACGAGACACCTCACGAAACATTCCACGAGACACCTCACGAAACATTCCACGAGACACCCCGTGAAACATTCCACGAGACACCCACGAACAGGCAACCACTCAACCAGACACCCCACGAAACATTCCACGGGGGTGCGACTGGGTGTGGTCGTGCTGGGGTGTGGTCGTGCTGGGGTGTGGTCGTGCTGGGGAGTGGTCGTGCTGGGGTGTGGTCGTGCTGGGGCGTGGTCGTGCTGGGGGGTGGTCGTGCTGGGGGTGTGGTCGTGCTGGGGGTGGTCGTGCTGGGGCGTGGTCGTGCTGGGGCGTGGTCGTGCTGGGGCGTGGTCGTGCTGGGGTGTGGTCGTGCTGTTGTGAGGTCGTGCTGGGGTGTGGTCGTGCTGGGGTGTGGTCTTGCTGGGTGGGGTCGTGCTGGGGTGGGGTCGTGCTGGGGTGTCATCGTGCTGGGGTGTGGTCGTGCTGGGGTGGGGTCGTGCTGGGGTGGGGTCGTGCTAGGGTGTGGTCGTGCTGGGGTGTTGTCGTGCTGGGGTGTGGTCGTGCTAGGGTGGGGTCGTGCATTTCGCTCGAGACATCCTGCCAAAATTCCAAGAAATCCTAGAACAACTAACGAATTAGTCGAGACATCCTCGAAATTCCTGCGCGCGGGACGCGGCACGCGCGAGGCATCCTCGGAATTCCTGCGCGCGGGGGGCGCTTTTCCGCGTCGCGGTCGGCTCTGCAAAACCAGCGTTTCGCTCGAGAAATCCTCAACAAATTCTGAAAACAAGCGTTTCGCTCGAGACATCCCCAACTCTGCAAAACCAGCGTTTCGCTCGAGACATCCTCAACACATTCTGATAAAATAAGCGTTTCGCTCGAGACATCCTCAAATTTTAATCCGCCGGCGCCCTTCGAATTCGATATTTATCAAAGAAAGAATCCGCCGGCCTACCTCAGTTGAGACACCGGGGACAGGTTTACCACACTAAAAGAAAACCCTGGGCCCCCGCCCTTTCCGGGAACAAGCGGTTCGCCTGAGACATCCTCAAATTTTAATCCGCCGGCCCACCTCGACCTCGATATTTATCAGGGAAAGAATCCGCCGGCCTACCTCAGTTGAGGCACCGGGGACAAGTTTACCTACTAAAAGAGAACCCTGGGCCTGCGCCCTTTCGGGGAACATGATCGACCCACGAACCCGGAAAGGAATATAGAAATGTAACGCGTGGCAGCGTTTTCAAAGACACCTAACTGGGTGACGGGCAAGAGCAATGCTGATTGTATCGATCTTGATGTACCGTGCCGAGGGCTGTGCTGTGCTGCACCGTGCTGAATTGCGATGTGCCATGCCGCGGTTGTGCTCTATAGCGTCGTGGATCGAGTCCTCCTTTGCATCCGAGTCCTGACCGAACTGATCTGGATCTTAAGCTCGAGCTGCCTGAACACATAGAAGCTGCCCCAGAGCTAATTGACAGGGGGACATGCCAGGAGGACGCGCCGCGAAACGTCCCAAGGGACGCGCCAGGCCACGTGCCAGGGGACGTGCCATGGGGTCGCACCGTAGGACGTGCCAATGGGACGCGCTACGGAACGTGCCAATGGATGTGCCACGAATGTGCCAGGGGACGCGCCACGCGACGTGCCAGGGGGACTCGCCAAGGGACGCCCCACGGAACGTGCCAAGGAACGTGCCAGGTTGCAATGCTGATTGTATCGATCTTGATGTACCGTGCCGAGGGCTGTGCTGTGCTGCACCGTGCTGAATTGCGATATGCCATGCCGCGGTTGTGCTCTATAGCGTCGTGGATCGAGTCCTCCTTTGCATCCGAGTCCTGAACGAACTGATCTGGATCTTAAGCTCGAGCTGCCTGAACACATAGTATCTGCCGCAGAGCTAATTGACAGGGGGACATGCCAGGAGGACGCACCGCGGAACGTCTCAAGGGACGCGCCAGGCGACATGCCAGGGGACGTGCCATGGGGACGCACCGCGGGACGTGCCAAGGGGCCGCGCTACGGAACGTGCTGGGGACAAGCGTTTCGCTCGAGACATCCTGTCAAAATCCTCATTCTAGACATCCGCCTGAGCGACCTGGACACGTCAAAACAAACGTTTCGCTCAACACATCCTCAACACATTCTCATGCTAGACATCCGCCTGGACGAACTGAACACGTGAAAACAAGTAGTTCGCTCAAGACATGCTCAACACATCTTCATGTGAGACGTCCGCCTGAGTGACCTGGGCACGTGAAAGCAAACGTTTCGCTCGAGACGTTTTCAACACCTCCTCATTCTAGACATCCGCCTTGGCGACCTGTACACGTGAAAGCAAACGTCTCGCTCGAGACATGCTCAACACATCCTCGTGTTAGACATCCGCCTGGGCGACCTGGACACGTGAAAACAAGCGTATCTCTCGAGACATTCTCAACACATCCTCATGCTAGGCATCCGCCTGGGCAACCTGGACACGTGCAAACAAGCATCTCGATCGAGACTTCCTCAACACCTCCTCATTCTAGACATCCGCCTGGGCGACGAGGACGCGTGTAACCAAGCGTCTCGCTCGAGACATCCTCAACAAATCCTGGCGCTTGACCTCTGCCTGGGCAACCTGGAAGCGTGAAACCAAGCGTCTTGCTCGAGACATCCTCAAGACCTTGGTCCGGGAAACATGGATTAGCCATCCATGGATTCGGCGCGCGGTCGCCACACCCATGGATCGGGGGCGGTGCCCCCCCCCCAAGATGCGGCCGGTGCCGCCTCGCTCGGCGGCGGAAGTCCGCGATTTCCCACGGAAGCAGGAGACCCGTCTGCGATCGCCTGAACATCGTCTGTCGGGGATCTTCTGACCCGGGTCAATCCAGACCCGGGTCAGCAGGAAACCAAAAAATGCAATGCAAGAAAAAAAAACTGCACCGCAGGTCTTCGCAGACCCGGGTCAGCCAGCTAATACGCGCGGCCGCCTCGCGGCCACGAGCGGCTCCCTAACCCGGGTCAGCCAGAGGGGGTCTTCGCAGGATCCTGCAGGATCTGGCGACCTGGCTGACCCCCGTCTGTATTGACCCCCATCTCAAGGCTCCCGAGTCGGAGGCCTGGGGTCTCGACCGGTGCCCCCCTCCCCTCGAAGGGCGGCGCGGGCTCCTCCAGGCCCTCCGTGTTCTGCCGCGCGCGGCCCTGCCGCGGGCGGACCCCGGCGCGCGCGGGCGAAAGGAGACCCCTGGGCCTCGGTGCTACCCCTTCTTTTTCCTCCTCCTCCTCCCTCCTCCTCCTCCTCCTCCTCCTCCCTCCTCCTCCTCTCCTCCTCCTCTCCTCTCTCTCCTCTCCTCCTCCTCCTCCTCCTCCTCCCTCCTCCTCCTCCTCCTCCTCCTCCTCCTCCTCCTCCTCCTCCTCCTCACCTCACCTCCTCCTCTCCTCCTCCTCCTCCTCCTCCCTCCTCCTCCTCCTCCTCCTCCTCCTCCTCTCCTCCTCCTCCTCCCTCCTCCTCCCTCTCTCCTCCTCCTCCTCCCTCCTCCTCCTCATCTCCTCTTCTCCTCCTCCTCCTCCTCCTCCTCCTCCTCCTCCTCCTCCTCCTCCTCATCTCGTCTTTTTCTGCTTGTTTGTCTTATCCTCCTCTCTTCTCTTCTCCTCCTCTCTTCTTCTTCTTCTGCTTCTTCTTAGTTTTGTTAGTAAGTACGCTTATCATTCCTCCTCCTCCTCCTCCTCTCCCTGATTGGTCGAGACAAACTCATGCCGGAGACGAAGATCGCATCCTGTACATGACCTCCCTCCTCGTGCTTCTCCTCATCCATTCTGGACGCGGCACTGCGGACTTCTGGTTGCTGCTGCATGTGAGGCCCATGCGAGAGAAGCATCACCCATGCGCCATGCGGCCGAAGGCCGAAGGACGTCAGCCACCAGTCTCTCCAGCAGAAGCCAAATCAGCTTCTCCTCCTCCTCCTCCTCCTCCTCCTCATCCTACCCCCGCCTCTCTCAGGAGTCCCCGTGTGCCCCCCCCAAACATGATGGACCCACGGACCCGGAAAGGGATATAGACATGTGCAGCATGGTCACGTTTTCACGATATCCAACTGGGCGACACCTCACGAAACATCCCACGAGACACCCCGCGAAACATCCCAGGAGACACCTCACGAAACAACCCACGAGACACCTCACGAAACATTCCACGAGACACCCCGTGAAACATTCCACGAGACACCCCACGAACAGGCAACCACTCAACCAGACACCCCACGAAACATTCCACGGGGGTGCGACTGGGTGTGGTCGTGCTGGGGTGTGGTCGTGCTGGAGTATGGTCGTGTTGGGGTGTGGTCGTGCTGGGGTGTGGTCGTGCTGGGGGGTGGTCGTGCTGGGGGGTGGTCGTGCTGGGGTGTGGTCGTGCTGGGGGGTGGTCGTGCTGGGGCGTGGTCGTGCTGGGGCGTGGTCGTGCTGGGGCGTGGTCGTGCTGGGGTGTGGTCGTGCTGGCGTGCTGGGGTGTGGTCGTGCTGGGGTGTGGTCTTGCTGGGGTGGGGTCGTGCTGGGGTGTGGTCGTGCTGGGGTGTGGTCGTGCTGGGGGGTGGTCGTGCTGTGGTGGGGTCGTGCTGGGGTGGGGTCGTGCTGGGGTGTGGTCGTGCTGGGGTGTGGTCGTGCTGGGGTGTGGTCGTGCTAGGGTGGGGTCGTGCTGGGGTGGGGTCGTGCTGGGGTGTGGTCGTGCTGGGGTGTGGTCGTGCTGGGGTGTGGTCGTGCTGGGGCGTGGTCGTGCTGGGGTGGGGTCGTGCTGGGGTGGGGTCGTGCTGGGGTGTGGTCGTGCTGGGGTGGTCCGCACCCTGTGATTTATCGATCGGGTCGTGCTGGGGTGTGGTCGTGCTGGGGTGTGGTCGTGCTGGGGTGTGGTCGTGCTGGGGTGTGGTCGTGCTGGGGTGTGGTCGTGCTGGGGTGTGGTCGTGCTGGGGCGTGGTCGTGCTGGGCGTGGTCGTGCTGGGGTGTGGTCATGCTGGGGGTGTGGTCGTGCTGAGGTGTCCCGCACCCTGTGATTTATCGATCGGGATTTCAAAAACAAGCGTTTCGCTCGAGACATCCTCAAAATAATTTCGCCGGCCTCCTTCGACCTCGATATTTATCAGGGAAAAATTTCGCCGGCCTCCTTCAAGTTGGGCACCGGGGACTATGTTTACATACTAAAAGAGAACCCTGGGACGACGCCCTTTCCGGGAAAAACAGGGGAAGGAAGAAGAGTCTGAAGAAAAAGAAGGAGCAAGCGACCGAGAGAGTACGAAAGAGGGATGAGGGAGGACGATCAGGGAAAAGGAGCAGGACGCGAGAGGGCCTGAGGGTGCGAGGAGGAGGCGGGAAGACACATGGGGATCTTTGTGAAGAGGCGTTTCTGAAGGCTCTCGCCGCCACGGAGGGATCCCGGATCTCTGACGATCTGATTTTTGTTAGGCGCAAGTTGCTCCTAGACTTCGGCCCGCGGGGTCCTTTTCGGGCTCCGGTGCCGTCAGATCCAGATCTGGGACGTGAAACTGCCCACAGAAAAGCGGACGGGACTTCTGGGGACACCACATCGGCGGATACAGTCGGACTCGATTGGAAAGGACACGCGACAGGACCCAAGACCCTTCCGAGGTCCACATCGCCGTAGGAATGTAGGGGGCACGGGTCGCGAGACTCAGGACACAAGGGTACCCTTGATTTGGCAGTGTCGACCTACTGATTAGTGCCAACTGTAGGAGAAGGGGGGCGAACGACATCTGCTGCATGCCGCTGTGTTCGGCCTCGTCACAATGGCGCCTCCGGCGCCAGGAGGCGTCGGGTAACTCGGCTGCGTGAGCGAATTTGCTGACCCGATGCTCCTGCTCACCCGAAGCCTCCACCTTTACCTCCTGTATGAACAGCTCCCCATTTCCTATTGCGCAAAACACGACGGTCTTCTTTGTTGAGTTCCAGGTCGGGTATGCCACGCGTCCGCGTCTAGACAAACAATGAGCGCAATGGGAAGAGATGACAGGAAGGAACGCAGGATGCCAGGATACCATTGTTAGATTATCTTGCACACTCTGCCTGAAACTCCAACCGCATGATTTTCGCACCGCGCCCCCCCTCCCACTCACCACCCCGCGGAACACCGCCCCCGCCCCCGTCCCCCCCACCAGCCCAGTGTCCCATCCGCTCCGACCGCTTTATCTTCGCACCACACACCCCATTCCCCTCCGCCCCGCAGGGCACCTCCCCCGCTTCCTCTCCCCAGTGCAGCAGCAGCCCAGTGCCCTCCCCGCCCCGACAAGCTTTTGTTCGCACCGCCCCCGCCCTCTCCTGATCCCCCCCACGGCACATCGCCCCCGCCCCCTCTCCCCGCTGTCGCGCAGCAGCCCAGTGCCCGCTCCGCCCCGACAGCATTGTCTGCACCGCACTTCCCCGTCTGCCCCTCGTTTCCGAACAGCTCAATGTCCACCCGCAGCCCAGTTGCTTCCGAGCAGCCCCGTGCCCTCGGCGCCCAGTGGCCCCCTCCGCCCCTTCGCACCGCCCCCCCCCCCTCCCCTCCCACCCGAAGGGCGCTTCCAAGCAGCCCCGTGCTCCCAGCAGCCCATGCGCTCCCCCACTCTGCGCCCAGTGCCCCGTCCGCCCCGACTGCTTTGCTCTCGCACCCCCCCTCCTCCTCTCCTCACCGCCCCCGCACCCTCCCCAAACATCCAGCAGCCGCCCCGTGCCCCCCCCCCCAGACCATTCTGTTCTCGCGTCGCACCCCCCTCCCTCCCTTCCCCTCTGCTGGCATCGTCCGCGCCCCTCTTTCCATTGTCCCCAGCTCCCCAGCTGCCCAATATCCTTTTTCCATTGTCCCCAGCTGCCCCAGTGTGTTTTCGCGCTCCCCCCCCCCCCGCCCCGACCCACACCCACCCCCGCAGGGAGGCACGGCCCCTGCCCCCTCTCCCCCCATTGACCCCCCCCCCCCCCGGCGTCCACTCCGCCGCCCGACCACTGCATATGTTGGCACAGCCCCCCCCCCTCCCCCCCGGCCCCCCCCCCGGCAGGGCACTGTCCCCGCCTCCCCCCACTGCCCTCCAGCAGCCCGCAGCCCCCTCTCCGCCCCGACCGCTTGCTTTTCGCCCCGCCCTTCCCCCCCCCCCCCCCGCCGCCGACCCTCGCACCCCCCCCCCCAGCGGCGGCGCCTCCGCCCGCCGCCACCCTCTCTTCCTGGAGCCCGCCCCGCTCCGCCACCGAACGCCTCCCTCTGTCGCTCTCGCTCTGGCTCTCGCGTTCTCTCCCCCTCGCTCTCGCTCTCCCTCTGTCGCTCTCGCTTTCCCTGTCGCTCTCGCTGTCGCTCTCGCTCTCGCGCTCGCTCTCGCTCTCTCTCTCTCTCTCTCTCTCTCATTTCTCCACCCCTCGAGGAAGCGTAGGGAACCTCGCAAACCTACCCTCCTGGATCAGTCCGTGTCGAATCGGGAAGCCGGGTCGGATCGGGACGGAACGTGTATCGAATCGGGCCGCATCGCCACGGAATCGGAATCGGATCGAATCGACCGCGCCAGCATGCACCGCAGCGCTGTGCAAGCGTCGGCCCGCATCGGGCCGTCGGAGCATCGGAATCGAATCGGATCGAGCCGGCCGGAATCGACGTGGAACCGCATCGATCGGATCGACGTGGGCCTTGCTCGAGGGGACGTGCTCGAACCTCGGGGCCGCAGGGCTCTCGACTGCCCTCACCCAGGATCCGGCTTCTCGCCACTGGGCCGCCTTCTGGTGCGCCAAGGGAGGGAGGCGAGGAAGAGGGGAGGGGGTTGTGCTTCTTTGTGGCCCGGTGCACGTGCGCGGACGGAGAAGGGGCGGGGCCATGACAGATCAGATACGTCACGGCCCCGTCCATGATATCCCCCCCCCCCCCCACAATACACCTCCCCTCCTCTTGAGGGGCAACGATCGGGCGGGATAGATAGGCACGGGGGAGAAAGCATCGACCTGGGTTCGGCGATGCGTCGCCGATGGATCGGCCAACTGTGCCACCAGCAATGAATCCGCACGGTTCCTGGGCAGGCTGGGGCTCTCGTGCCCCCCCTCAGCGATCAGTGGGCCCTCGGGGGTCGACTCCCCCCCCCCCTCCCCCCGCGTATGCCTATCCCCACCTGTCGTTGCACCCCCCTTCTGCCCACCCCGATCGCTCTTCTGGACGGCCCTGGCGCGCCGGGCAAGAAACCGTCTCCGTGGAGGGCCGCAGGGTGCCACAAAAGCAGACCTCGGGCTCGACGTGGGTGGCTCCGTCTCTGGGGGCCGGCGGGTGCGCGCAGTGGCTCTAAGCTTGCCACCGCCCGGACGGTCCCTCCCCGGTGCGTGTTTGTGTTTTTCCGCCAGGGTGCCCCGAGTTGCTCCGGGATGGCCCAGATGGTCGATTCTCCTTTCCAGTTCTCCTCCTCGTCCTCCTCCTCGTCGTCCTCGCCAACCTCCTCTTTCTCTCCTCCTCCTCCTCCTCCTCCTCCTCCTCCTCCTCTCTTCCTCCTCCTCCTCCCTCCTCCCTCCTCTCTCCTCCCCTCCTCTCCTCCTCTCTCCTCCTCCTCTGTCCTCCCTCCTCCGTCCTCCCTCCTCCCTCTCTCCTCCCCCCTCCTCCCTCCTCACTCTCCCCCCCTCCTCCTAGCTCTCCACTCCTCCTCCCTCCCCTCCTCTCCCCAGGGTGCTCCGAGATACTCCAGGGTGGTCCAGCTCTGCTGGCGCTGGCCTCGCCAAGGCAGACTCAGGGGCGGCCGCAAATCGTGGCCGCCCGACGGGGGGGGGGCCCAGGGACGCAGTGAGATCAGGGGAGGCGCCGTGCAGTCCGGGGGAACATCGGTGCCCACGCCATTGGTGTCCACCCCCCGACCCCTGGCCACTGCCCCCCTCCCTGCCGCCCCCGGCAGGCACGCACGTGCACACGCGCCCGGGCGATGCCGGGCCAGCGGAGCCGCGCGGGGGTGGCGAGGCGGAGCGCTCCCGGCGCCTCGACCAGCTGCAGCCGGGCGTCGTGCCTCTGCGCCTCGCCAGAGGAGGGAGCCAGGGCCGAGAACCTCGAGGGCGTCTTCCGTCCTCGCTTCGTTCTCGTTTTCCCCTCGCGTTCGTCTCGAACCCGCCGCTACCGCAGAGCGAAGTCGAAACGAGAACGGCCCACGGAATGGCCGAAAACAGCGGCGGTCAAATCCAGCCCTGGGAGGAGCGGGGCGCGCGCCGGCGCCGCGCACGGCGCGTCTTCTTCTCGCTGGCAGCTCCCGCCACAGGGGACGCAGGAGGGCACGCTGCTGCTATAGACGTCGGTGGCAGCTCGCGGGGGCCTCCAGTGCCAGCCTGCTGGGTCTTGCGAACCGACTCGGGTCGACGCTAGTCGACGCTGAAGCGACGCTGAAGCGACGCTGATCGACGCTAAATCTGGCTAAATCATCGACTGCGTGACGTCAGTCGACGCTGGTGCACTCTAGAGACGGGATTGCGAGGGTACGCCAGGCTCCCAGGATTCGAAACCGAACTGGGCGCCTTTGACCAGGACAGCGAAAGCACCACCACCACCACCAGAACTCCACAGGGCTCCGTTCCCAAAAATGCCACCCCCCCCGAGCGGGGTGGCACTCCTCGGGGGCGGCCAAGAGCCAAGAGGGGAGCGTCTACGAGGGGGGTCGCAAATGCGCGGCATGAGGGGCGTCCACGAGGGGCGTCCACGAGGGGGGCGGCATGTGCGCGGCCCAGGGGACGCATTCCGACCAGAAGAGGCCCCATGACACCTGGGGAGACACGACGGCCCCCGCCATGATTCCCCCCCCCCAGTCATCACCCCCCTCAATTGGCCGTCCCCGACACTCCGGCCCGGGCACTCTCCCCCGACTCCGGATCCGCCCTACTTTGGGGAAATTCGTAAGTGGGGCTTGGAATTTCCGCCTTACTTTTCAGGCCCCGCTGATGCCAATTTCCGCCCTACTTTTCTGCTGCTGTTTCCGCCCTACTTCTGTGGATGTTCGCCCCATTGTATGTTGGGTGCAGCAATTGCCGCCCTACTTTTTCGGCTCCTTCTAGGTGGATGTCTGACGCCATTTTGAGTTGGAAAAAACGCCAAAGTAGGGCGGATCTGGAGTCAGGGATCCCCCCCCCCCCAGTCGTCACCCCCCTCTTGGCCGCCCCCGACACTCCGGCCCGGGCACTCTCGGGGGTCGCGCCCGGCATTGGGTGCCGCCGGCTCGGGGGGGGGCGGAGCGGCCAGCCCCCCATGGCTGGTGGCATAGCGGTTCTCTTTTTGATCTGACAAAGACCAGCCGCACGCGTACCAGCCTGCAGTTAAAAACTCTCGGGCCAACGATGGAGACGCTATTCGACCCAACTCCTCGCTACGCGGGAAGGGTCGTCGTCGTCATCCGAGTCGCTGGCATCAGGGAAGCCAACCAGGTCCTGTGCCTCTTGTGAGAGGAGGCGCAGGTCCGACCCGGAAGGTGCTGCCCCCATCGGTCGGAAGAGGCAGGCAGAGCCATGAAGTAGGAAAGCGTTGAGAGCAGATTGGGTGTCCGCCCGCCCACCCTACATAGACCTGCGCCGGCACCCGCCCGGCGCCCACACCGCGCCCCACCACCACGTCGGACACCCCCTATCCGCCTGCACCCTCCTTCTGAACTCTTCATAGACCCCCCGCCTTACAGAAACCTGCGCTGGCACCCGCCCAGCACCCACACCGCGCAAGGAGGTCTGAAGAGATGAAGCCGCTTGAGCATTGAAGTAGGACGGCGCCTAAAGTGGATGGGGATCCGGGAATCCAAAAGTGCCCGCTTTCAACGACCGACGGGTATGGTACAGATGGTAGCTGCTTCCTCGAGCGCTGGGGCGAGGCAGCGCCCGCCGCAGAGCATATACCGAAAGGCTTCTGGGCCTGTGCGTCGCCCCTGCGGGGCTAGCGCACACTGTGTAGAAGCGTGTGCGTGCCTGGCGGTGCCGAGGCCAGGCAGCGGGAGGCGGGGGCCCGACACCAGCCGGGGGGGGGGACGCCAGGGTAGGACAGCAAGGGGCAGGGTAGAGAATCGGCTCACGCAGCTAGTTTTCCTGGTCGAGGATCAGCTCACGTTGCCGGTTTTCCGGGTCGAGGATCAGCTCACGAAGCTGGTTTTCCTGGCGCCTCCTGGCGCAGGGAGGCGCCCATGCATCGAGGAATGGGCCTGGCGGCGGGGCGAAAACCAGCTGCATGCAACAGATGTCGTAAGCCTCCCTTTTCCCTATCCTGCAGCTGAAGCCAGTCCACAAGACACCTTCCACAAGAAACCCAACCCTGAGACCCCAGGGCGTCCATGGCCTCTTGGCGCGGGAACGCCGCGCTTTCCGCAGCAACACCGTCGAACCCCAAGCAACCCGGGGCACCCTGGAGGCAGGCAGGGTGCTTCTTGGCATGGGTCCCCACTGCATCCTGCCCGCTCGTCCGGCCCGACGGGAGCCAGGGCCGGCGCCGCGCGCGGCGGCGACGGGCGCCGCTCCCGGCGAGGGAGAGGCGCCCGCCCTCCAGATGTGCGCCTCTCTGCACGCCGCGGCGGGGCGAGCCCCTGGCCGACCCTCCTCGGGCGGGGCATCGCGGGCCCCAGGAAAAAACAAACAAAAAACGGAAAAAACGAAAAGACCGTTTTTTTTGGTGGCCTTTCTGAGTTCTGTCGTCGGCGTTCTGGATTTGTTCATTCTCGCCTGCCTCCCCCCTAGATGCGGGCAATGGCCCTATCCAGAGCCAGTGCGTCTTGGACTCTCCTGGAGGGGGCGCCCGCAGGGCCGAGGCGCGCTGGGCGTGGACAGCCTCGGTCCTCTCGGGGTCCAACTCTGATGCCCACACCCAGAGCGCGCCTCTCGGGCTTCCTGGGCAGGGAGCCCGAAACTCCGAGCTGCAGTGGCTCTTGCCACAAGTCTTGCCCGCACTAGAAGCCTCCCAGATGGGGTCCGAACAGATGGGGTCGGAGGACCGCGCCGGCGATGCATCGGCGATGTCGGCGTGAAAAGAATCGACCTCCGCCTCGAGCCGCACCTGTGATGCGCCAGCCGAGACCGCCTTCGCAGCCATGGGGCCCACCCCCCGAAATCGTGGGAAGCTGGAGTGAAAAAGAATCGGGCTCTCAGGGAAGCGGGCCCTGGCCCACGGAGCGTGTGCGTGCTGCTTGAGTGGTGTACACCGCGACTTCATGACAGTGCACATCTGGGAAATGCACTCCCTGTCTTGTTCACCTTTCCCTCTCCCTGCGAATCTTCTCTTTTTACTCTGCCTCAACCTCTTCTTCCTCCAATCCCTCAGCCCTTGCCTGCCCTACCTCGTCCTGTGTCTTCTCACGACTCAGGGCCCAGGGAGGGCCCCCAGAGAGCCCGACAGCGGCGACGAGAACCGCAAGACCCACCTCCTCGGGGCCTGTTGTTCGTCCGTGGCGAGGGGAAGGGACGACCCCCAGCCGACACCGCGTGAACAGAGGCTTTTCCACATGGGGTCAAATTGCAGTGGAGGCCAGTCCACCAGAAACCTTCCACAATAAACCCAACCCTGAGACCACAGGACGTCTTTTGATGTTTGTCGTGGGAGCGTCTCGCTTTCTAGAACAAAACCACCGAAACCCAAGAAACCCAGGGCACCTTGGGGGTAAGCAGGGTGCTTCTTGGCATGGGTTCCCACTGTAGATGGCATTAGATGGCGTCGGAGGACCGCGCCGCATCGGGGATGCATCGACGATGCACCGGCGACGACGGCGAGGAGAAGCTCGGGTTCGACGACGCCCCACCGACCCCGCGTGACTGCGCCGGGGACGACACGATGGGACGAGGTGGGGTGACTGGGGCGGCCGCGGCGGTCTGCTGCCACGGTGCGCCCGCCGCGACTCGTCCCTGACACCCCGGCGCGGTCTCGGCAAAATTCCGCGGGCTGGACGCGCGCGCATGCTGGCACCCGCGAGTGTGTCGCGCAGCGTCATGCGGCACCTCAAGATTCGGTGGCGAGCCCAGGGGGGAAGTGAGAGGGGGCAGGCCATCTCAAAGGGGGCGGGGCTTCTCCGACACCCTCGCGTCTTCTGAGCAATTTTCAGAGCATTCTCCGAAAACAGAGACGGCTTCTCAGAAGGCGGGGAAGCTTCTGAGCAGCCCGGCCGACTTCTGAGAAGGCCTACCCCTTCTCACTTCCCCCCTGGGCTCGCCGCCAACAGGTACACGCCGCCCCCCAATCACTCGCTGCGCGCACTTGCACGCACCTGCAGCTGCTCCGGCTACCCTCCCCCCTCATCCTGCAGCTGCTGTGGCACCAGTGCGATGAGGCACTACTTCGGCGTATCAAAGACATCGTGAACGGCCGTGCGCAGCAAAGCTGAAGAATCGCATCCAGAAGGGAATACGACGGCATGCCATAACAAAGAATAACACCAAACACGTCATACCCTTCTCATCATACTCCTACGCGCCTCCATTCCTTGGATTGCTGTGATCGTAGATTCCAGCCGGTCCCTCCCTTCCCATCCGTGGCTCCCTGCTGTGCACGCGCTGCTCGCATACGCATGCGGCCATGCAGAAGCAGGAGGTGGAGTCAGAGGGCATGTTAGTGCGTAGCCATCCTCCTCACTTTTCTCCCCCCTCCTCAGCCGACGCTCACTCAGGAACCCACCACCTCAAAAGCCGTCCCCTGCCTGTTTCTGCACGCAGTCCACTGCAACAGTGCCCGAAGAGCAACCCGCTCACGGCGACGAGAGGGACAATGGGCGGGGCATCGAAGAGCATGCAAGAGCTCACAAGAGATCGCGAGAAGCCTCTGTCGCGCAAGAGGTAAACCCATCGCCCCTAGGGGAAGGTTCGAGGCCTGCACGCCAGCCTGCATGCATCCCTGCTGGATTACCGACCTACGTACAAGCACCCACCTCCGTACCTGCATGCCCGCAGACAGATAGCGTATCTACACTGTACTATGGCGGCCATGACGTCACGGTGTGCGGGTGGCTCGGGGTGCACGGATTGAGTGCGTCCTCATGCGATACCGCGACGAGGCGTGTCCCTGAGCGAAGAGCCCGCGCGCTGTCGTGACAGAACGGCGCGGAGTAAGGCCTAGAGGACGTGGAATGACTCATGTCTGCTGCCAGGAGAGGCGTGGAAAGTCCACCCCTGAGGTGGAGTACTTATGGCTTCCCTGGGCAAACACCTGGCAGAGAAAGCTTCCACACCGCAATGAACATGTCATGCCTCAAGGGACCAAAAAGTAGGACCGCCACCTACTCCGTCGCCGGCGGATGACATGTTCTTTGATTACGCGGGAATGGGGTCCCTTATCAACAAAACTGTCAAACACTGGAAACGCTGCTGGTACACGATACCCCCACATGCATGATTCCACCTGCCCTCTCGCTTACACCCAAATCGACCTGCCCGCCTGCGCCACAGCCTGCCGGCCAACCCCCACCGTGACTGGACCACAAATCTCGGACAAAAGATCGGGCCTCGTTCACCAGAGAATCAAGAACGCCGCCTGGGCCGGGTACGGTGCTCCTGACCTGCGATCATACCGCAACGCGGCCGAAAAAACAACACACATACACACACAAATACACACAAATCTGCTGCGCCAGACATCCCCATCCCCACCCCCAACTCTCCCGTCGTGACCCCAGCTCCCCCTCCCCCTGACGCACGTTCCTGGCGCAAGGACGATGCTCTGTGCGAGTTCGGTGAAGGTTACCCCTGAAGGCATGAACCGGTCTCTGTGTAGGTCCCTATGCTCCTGGGCAGACAAGACAAGACAAACAGCAGAAGATCATACACACCGTGCACATCGAGCTGATGACCGCCACCTTGCCCCCAGGCACGTTGCGGAGCGATGACGTGCCACTGCCATCTGGTAGGGCTTCTGCACGTCTTCTATCGGGGATGGACAGACCCCCCTTTAGCAAAACGGGGTTCAGTGAAAACGACCTGAGGCCCAAACCTGGCGGGCGCAAGCCTGGAGAATGACGGCCACGGCGCCCTCTCGAGAACCGAAAACGGACAATTCACTGATCGACGTGTCACTGTTGGGGGCTCTGTCCACCTCCGATTCTACCCCCCCCCCCTTAAATCTACGTTTGCTCCGCTGCATCGCCCGCCCTGGCGGCCCGACGCCTCCCCGGGGTCCTCCACGGCACCCACCCGCTCCCCAAGGCGGCACACGAAGGCCACCAATGGGCCGCCAGGATGGCGTATACGACTGCCTCTCGAGGCGCGCCCGAGGAGCGCCCGGCAGGTACGAAGGGGCCTCCGACACGCCCCAAGACACCCCAAAGACGTGTGTGTGTGTGTGTGTTTTTTTAGGGGAGGGGGGAAGTCCGCTGCCCTTCAAGAAGGCTATCCAGCACGCCCGATGGAGACGACCACAGCGCACCTACGCGCAGGCACGAACAGCAGGGTTGTCCTGCGAACGTGGCCGATTGCCAGCGCAATTCAAGCAGAGGTCAGGTTGTATGCCAGGACACCCCAAAGACGTGTTTGGCGGAAAAGAGAACACGGCATAAGCATCAACGTTTGGAGGTCCGCGCGGATTTCTCGGGTCTGCGCCGGACCCCCCTCCCTGGCGCGCGGAGCGCGCGCCAGGGGCGGCGCCAGAGGCGCCGCCTGTGGGCCCCAGCGCGGATCCAAGAAATCCGCGCGGAGCTCCGAAAATTGACGTTTGTGCAGTTTGTTCTTCGATCGCACGCCGAACTCATTGATATCTACATTTGGACGCCCGAAATGGGCACGGAAAGAATGGGCACAATGCCCAACAACAGCAAATGTTGTCCCAAACCAATAGCGGCCACTGTTGGGCAGGCGGCCTTCTGTCTCACATGGACACAGGCCGCGGCGACACCGACGGCGAGTCCTGTTCAGAATGAACAAGAACTGCTGCTGGGCACCGTACCCATTCTTTCCGTACCCATTTCGTTCGTGCCGACACATGCGCCTTCACCCCGGTGGCCCCTCCTGGCCCCGCCCCGCCCCCGCCGGGTCTCTTGCGCGGCTGCAGCCAGGGACTCGTGCTGGGAGCGCTGCCGCCGCAGCGCCTCCGACATCTCCTCCGGACGGGCCGCAGACTGGCCCGCCCGCGGGGGGTAGGGGGGGAAGGGAGGGGGGGGGGGAAGGAGGGGGGGGGACAAGCTAGGTGCGCTCGCGTCATATCTGACGTCCTACCCCTCCCTCCCATCCCTTACCATGGCGCTGATTTTCTCTATCCGCGGACGCGTGTCGTAGCGGACCTGTGGCTCCGCGCGCGCGTGCGTAGGTGGTGGTGCGCGTGCGTGCGTGCGTGCGTGTGTGCGTGGTTCGTGGTGTGGTGTGGTGGGTGCTGGTGGTGGTGGTGGTGGTGGTGGTGGTGGTGGTGGTGGTGGTGGTGGTGGTGGTGGTGGTGGTGGTGGTGGTGGTGGTGGTGGTGGTGGTGGTGGTGCGGCGCGGTGGTGGCGGGCGGATGGGCGCGCGAGAAAGAGGCCCGCGCTGGGGCGAGAACGCCATCCTGAACGACGGAGGCCAAACACCGATCCGAAAATGAGGCCCACGCTGCAGCGGGAGCACGAGTCGGAACGATTCGGGAGCAAAAATGAGGCCGGCGCCTCAGCGATATCAACATTTTGAACAACAAAAAAAAACGCAGGCGAAAACCCGTTTCCCGGGAATCCTGTGTGTAAAAAAACCATACGCAGAGGGTGTTCGGCGATCACCCAACCGTCATCAGGGGAAGAGGGAGAGTATTTTCATATTGAGTAATTGTGGAGGAGGAGGAGGAGGAGGAGGAGGAGGAGGAGGAGGAGGAGGAGGAGGAGGAGGGGGGGAGGAGGAGGGGGGGGAAGGGAGGAAGGAGGGAAGGGGGGGGAAGGAAGGAAGACCTCATGAGATCCAGGCGTCTCCAGTATGTTCGCGCTGGGCGTTCTCGCTCGGATTCGGTGCCCCCAGGGCTCCCTTCCGCTGAACGAACCAGCTCGAGGACTGCTTCAAGTGGGGCTCCGCTCGTGATTTCCCACGATGTTGCATTGTTTCTCGTCGTCAGATCTCAGGGCCATTTGGCTGCAAGCTATCGCCTTGCAGGCGCACGCGCTGGATTGCCCAAGTGGTTCCCGAGGGGACATCGCAGCCTGACGCATTGGCAAGCGAGGGAGAGATGGATATGTAAGATCATGACGTGGGGGGCAAGTGTGAGTAGGAGGAGGGTGGAGTGAGGAGGACGAGGAGTAGGATGTCCAGAGTGCAGCAGGATTCATCCACGATGCTGCAAAGCACCCTACCGTTTCAAGTCCCCTCCGCATGACTCCCCAGAGAGCTTCCATGTCACACAGGGAAGCATTGGTTTGAAAGACGAGTGCCCCGTGGTCCTGCTATGCAGGCGAAGGCCCCGTTTTGACGAGGAACTGAGATGAGCGATGAGTCCAGTGAAAGCCAAGCATGGAACGCCCTCGAATGGCGCAAATGTTGCAAGACATTGCGCGTATAGTCATCGCGTTTGGGGAGACTACGAAAACCTCTTTGGAAAAAGGGCACGCCCTTCATCGCTGAAACTGTTGGATATGTAGAATACAGCATGTGCAAGGCGGCAGCGCGAGAACAATGTTTAAAACGACTGGCCCCTCCGTCCCTGCAGCCACCGGACAAGTTCAAGCCGAATGTTCGCGAGGGTGAGGCCAGAGCCACAGATTGCAAACCTGTTGCACTCCAACCTCTTTAGCAAATGTTAGCGCTTCAGACGAACATGCGCGGCGCTATGTCAACACCACATGTTAAGGAGGGCCTGCACTGCATTCGTATGTTGTTGGAGACTCGGTGAACGAATATCGGCGGCGCTACCGCGAGAACCACATGTTCAAGACCACCCGCCCACCGTCGTTCACCCGCTGGGAACCTCTGCCTTCCAGATCATAAACGGAAAGAGTGGACCAAATGCCCAGCCCGCCCAACGGACACGCATGGAGGGGCGACGACGAGGGTGTACTCATAAGACAGAGGGATGCGAATTTGGACAAGGAGTGACGGCGAGGAGGGGCAGCGCAATCCGCCTCCCCCTCCCTTTCCAGCATCCTTCCGAAATCTCTGGGCCGCTGTCGCTGGAGTCCAGAAAACATTCGAAACACAACCAAATATCAACGATAACGTAAGACACATGCTCAGCAGCTCCTCCTCATCATCCTCCCTACCTGATGTTCCCTATATTCTACCCCCGCACCCTTCGTGGGACAACCCTGGACAATACCAGAACGCCCCCCACTCCACCGAACCCCGTCTCCCTGGAAACAACATACTTGAACTCTCTATCAAAAAAGTCCTCCCTGCCTTCATCCTACGACTCCATCTCCTCCTCCTCCTCCTCCTCCTCCTCGTCCTCCTCCAACCGCGACCCCGTTATCCGTCTGGGGCTTCCGGGCGGGTGTCCACCGGTGTCAGGCGTGTGAGATCACGGTTACGCCACCCTGCCACGGTGACCGCATTGCGCCACCTCCGCCGGATGAGAGCCAGGTTCTCATCATCCTCCTCTTCCTCCTCCTCCTCTTCCTCCTCCTCCTCCTCTTCCTCCTCCTCCTCCTCCTCCCCGATCCTCCAGTGGTGTTGACTCAATCGGCTCTGGAAGGGGGGAAGGCACAAATGCAGGGGTAAGTTCCCTCATGCCCCCCTCCGTTCACTCATCCAGGTGCAGCCGACACCACGCACGTCTGGACTGCTGATCAGAGAACTCGCGCGAGAGATAGAGAGGACGACTTCCTGACTGTCTGCTCCCACCCCTACGGGTTAGAATAGCCACCCTCCTAGGAAGCAGCCCGACAATCGGAGCCCTCACGTGAACGACCCGAATGAAGGAATCGACGAGCCCAAGGCTGTCCAGGCACCGACACTGCTGGGTGCGGGGAGAGCTCGCCGCACCCGCCCCGTCCTTCCTCCACAGGGCGGCGCTGTGGTGCACACGCGCCGCGCGCAGGCCGAACGCCCTCCCCTCTCCTCGTCCCCTCCCCGCCGACCTCCCCGCCCCTTCCCTCCCTCGCCACCCCCCCTCCCTTCCTCGCCCCCCTCGCCCCCCCTCCTCGCCCACCCGCCTCTCCGTTCCCGCCCCCCCCCCTCCTCCCCCCCTCGCCGAGGGGCGAGAGGGCGGCGGCGTCCTGGCCCTGCTCCTCCATCCGCTCGAAGCGCTCGGGCGCCCGTGCCGCCTGCAGTGCCTCGCGGGCACGCGGCGTGGCTGCCGTCTGGGGGCCGTCGGTCGTCGTCGTCTTCCTCGTTGGCGTCGTCCACGGGGTACGCGACGGCGCCATCGCCGTCGACGTCGTCGTCGGAACGGAAAGGGAGGAGGAGAGGGAGGAGGAGGAGGAGGAGAAGCCGGAGGAGGACCAGGAGCAGGAGGAGGAGGAGGAGAAGGAGGAGGAGGAGGAGGAGGAGGAGTGGGGGAAGGAAGAGAAGGAGAATGAAGGAGGAGGGAGGAGGAGGAGGGGGGGAAGGAAGATAAGGAGAATGAAGAAGGAGGTAGGAGGAGGAATAGGATTGAGGAGGGAGGAGGAGGAGGAGGAGGAAGAGGGAGGAAGAGGAGGAGGAGGAGAAGGATGGAGAGAGGTTGGAGGATGGAGGGGATGGAGGAAGGAGGGGAGCAGGGTGGGGCACAGTGACAAGGGGAGAGAAGGGAAGTTGCAGTGTGATTCGAACTTTCTCTCTATCCTCCTCCTCTCCTCCTCCTCCTCCTCCTCCTCCCCCTCCTCCTCCTCCTCCTCCTCCCTCCTCCTGTTCCTCCTCCTCCTCCTCCTCCCTCCTCTTTCCTCCTCCTCTCCTCCTCCTCCTCCCTCCTCCTCCTCCTCCTCCTCCCCCTCCTCCTTCTCCTTCTCCTCCTCCTCCTCCTCCTTCTGGGCGTATTTGGCGGCCTCTCGGACTGCTCACGGGGCCTCTTGGGCGTCTCACGGGGCCTCTCCAGACGCCTTGACTGCGACCAGCTCTCCCGACCACGCCTTCATGCGGGGATGTGTCCGAGCCAGATCGATCCGTAAGCGCCCGAGGGCCCGACGACGGCGCAGGCGCGCTCCCCACTCTTTGTTCCCAGCGCCCGCCAGTCAGGGCCTCCCTCCTCCTTTCAAGGTTGCCTGGACCCTGCCTGGGCTCCTGGGCACTCTCCTGAAACGTCTTCCAAAAGACGTTCAGCCGCGGCGACAAACATAGCCAAAATAAAAATTGAGAAAACCCTCCAGGCCGTCAGGAGCTCCACTGTACCCGCCACATCGCGAAACTATATCTATGTATACATATATACATATAGACACAATGCTTCACCGGCTTGCTACCCTGCGCCGTTGAATCCTTGATCCATTAACTTGCCCTGGCGCGGGAGGAGCCCGCGGCGCGCGGGGGAGGTTGACGGAGGGGAAAATAAGAAAAGAGAGGGATTGAGGGATGGAAAAGGAGGTGAACGATGCCGGGGGGCCTTTCGAAGCAGCTCAGCACACCAGGCGGGATGGGGGAGTGCAAGGGAAGAAAATGAGCGGGGGGAGAAGGAGGTAGGGCGACGCAGACGTTGGCGAGAGGGACGGGTATGAGTGATGACGTGGGGGCGATAGAATATGCGGGCTGTCAAGAGAGCAGAGGTCACATCTAGTGACCCGCGGGGGCTGTCAGGGGCACGGAAAGAAAGCATAGACATTTCCGCCGCTCTTTCGCCGAAGTGACACATAGACGTGTCCGTCGCTCAGAAGAGCCCTAGAGAGCTGTAGAGTGCTCTAGAAGGAACCATGGGGGTCCTCTAGAGGGGTTTCTGGAGGAACTCTAGAAGGCTTATGGATGACCCTAGAAGGCGGCTCTAGAAGGAGCCTCTAGAAGGTCCATCTTTCCAATATGAAAATGATTTTGCACCAAACAATATTATCCGAGAGAAGGGGCCGAACGGTCATTCATTGTCCCTGGGTGCGTGGCTGACTTGGAAATTCGTGGTGGAAATTCTGTTTGTAACGTCGTTGTTGTTGTTGTTGGTGGTGCTGGTGTTGTTGTTGTTGTTGTTGTTGTTGTTGTTGTTGTTGGTTGTTGGTGTTGCTATTGTTGTTGTTGCTGCTGCTGTTGTTGAACTCTCACTTGTGAAGAATAAGTATTGTTGATCCCCCCTCACAGGTGCATGCTGTTTGTTCTCGATCGAAGTGTGCCGCTCGACGCTCGCACCCTGTTTTTTGACAAAGGGAAGTCTTGATGCTCAAGCTGCGCCCCTGGCCACCGGGTTACAACAACAACGGCTCCCGCCTGAGATTCCCTTACAATTTGACCAGGACACCCGCTCCCGCCCGAGACTTCCTCGCATTTTCTTCAGGAATCGCGTTCTCGCTTTGGACTTCCTGATAATTTATTCAGGAATCGCTCTCCCGGCGCTCTGGAGTCGCGCTCTCGCTGGAGACTTGCTTGCAATTTTCTGACGAATAGCGCCCTTTGCGTTGGAATTTCCTGCAATTTGCTCAAACGCCGCGCTCCCGACACCCAGACACCCAGGGGTCGCGCTCACGCTTAGGACTCCCTCACAGATGACATAGGAATCGGGATCTCGCTGCCCCGCGTGGCCCCGTTGCAGCCCTTCGTGGCCACCTCGCTGCCCTTCGTGGCGGCCCCGTTGCAGCCCTTATTGGCCCCCTCGCTTTGTTGCGTGGCCCCGTTGCAGCCCTTCGTGGCCCCTTCGCTGCCCTTCGTGGACCCGTTGCAGCCCTTCGCGGCCCCGTTGCAGCCCTTAGTGGCCCCTTCACTGCCCTTCGTGGCCCCATATATGTATGCCTTTCGTGGCCCCCGCTCGTTCGCGCCCGTTGTGGCCCCATGTGCATGCCCTTCGTGGCCCCGCTGTCGCCGTTTGTGGCCCCCTCACTGTCCTACGTGGCCCAGTTGCTACCCTCAGTGGCCCCATCGTTGCCTTCTGTGGCCCCGCATTATCTGCCCTTCGTGGCCCCCGCTCGTTCGCGCTCTTCGTGGCCCCATACGCATTCCCTTCGTGTCCCCGCTGTCGCCCTTCGTGGCCTACTTCGTGTCCTTCGTGGCCCTGCTGTCGTTCTCTCTCGCTCTCGTTTTCGCTCGTCGTCGTCGTCGTCGTCGTCGTCGTCGCCGTCGCCGTCGTCGTCGTCGTCGTCGTCGTCGTCGTCGTCGTCGTCGTCGGTCCCCTGCCCGTCCCTCTTGGGGTCGGGTCGACGGTCCGCAGCCGCCCCGCCGCTTGCCGGGGCCCGGCCTGCAGGGAAGAAAGGTATACCCCCCAAAAGGGGTTCGATCGAAGACGAAGATAGCGGGTATCGAGGGTTTGGGACATACGCGTTATTGGACACTCGAGCAGATAAGGGCGAACAATATTGAAATGACTGTTGCTGCTGTTGTTATTGTTGTTGTTTGTTGTCGTCGTCCCACCCGCGACCCACTCGCGACCCACCCCGCGACCCACTCGCGACCCCACCCGCGACCCCACCCGCGACCCACCCGCGACCCACCCCGCGACATACCCGCGACCCACCCCGCGACCCACCCCGCGACCCACCCGCGACCCACCAACGACCCACACGCGACCCACCCGCGACCCACCCTGCGACCCACCCCGCGACCCATCCGCGACCCATCCGCGACCCATCCGCGACCCATCCCGCGACGCACCCGCGATCAACCCCGCAACCCACCCTCAAAGGAGGAAAATGCACCTGGACCCGACAATTGACGTTTACAAAACGGCCCTGGGCGTTTACTGAACAGGCCTGCCCTGTTCGATTGATTCCTTGTGTGCGTTTACTAAACGGCTTCGCTTGTTTGGGAGATTATCATGGGGTGGATTTTCTGCCCTCTACACCCGCGACCCACCGGGGCGGGGGTGGGTTGCCGATAAGAGGGGGCGGTTGGGACGTCGGCAGTTTGCGAGACTCTGGAGAAGCCCGCCGCTAGCGCCAAAGTTCCACAAATTATACAACGAGCCCGCCGCAGGCGCCGATTTTTTCGTTAAACCAACGTGGGTAGGTCGCGGGTGGGTCGCGGGTGGGTCGCGGGGTGGGTCGCGGGTGGGTCGCGGGTGGGGTCGCAGGGTGGGTCGCGGGGTGGGGCGCGGGGTGGGTCGCGAGTGGTTCGCGGGTGGGATGGCGACAAAAAAAACAACAGCAACAACAACAACAACAACAACCACAACCTCAACCTCAACCACAACCACAACCACAACCACAACAACAACAACAACAACAACAACAACAACAACAGCAACAGCAACAGCAACAGCAACAGCAACAGCAACAACAACAACAATAAGTTTAAGACAGTTCGCCCTTATATGCTCAAGTGTCCAATAACGCGTATTTCCCAAACCCCCGATACCCGCTATCTTCGTCTTCGATCGAACCCCTTTTGGGGGGTATACCTTTCTTCCCTGCAGGCCGGGCCCCGGCAAGCGGCGGGGCGGCCGCAGACCGTCGGCCTGGCCAGCGGCAGCGCTGATCGGCGGGGCGGCCGCGGACCGTCGACCCGACCCCAAGAGGGATGGACAGGGGACCGACTACGAAGACGACGACGACGACGACGTCGAAGACGACGGCGACGGCGACGACGACGACGACGGCGACGACGAGCGAAAGCGAGAGCGAGAGAGAACGACAGCAGGGCCACGAAGGACACGAAGTAGGCCACGAAGGGCGGCAGCGGGGGCACGAAGGGAATGCGTATGGGGCCACGAAGAGCGCGAACGAGCGGGGGCCACGAAGTGCAGATAATGCGGGGCCACAGAAGGCAACTATGGGGCCACTGAGGGTAGCAAGTGGGCCAAGTAGGACAGTGAGGGGGACACAAATTGCGACAGCGGGGCCACGAAGGGCATGCACATGGGGCCACAACGGGCGCGACTCCTGGGTGCCTGGGTGTCGGGAGCTCGGCGCTTGGGCAAATTGCAAGCAAGTCCAACGCAAGGCCATTCTTCAATAAATTGCAAGCAAGTCTCCAGCGAAAGCGCGACTCCAGAGCGCCGGGGAAACGATTCCTGAATAAATTGTAAGGAAGTTCCAAGCGAGAGCGCGATTCCTCGATGAAATGCGAGGAAATCTCGGGCGGGAGCGGGGGTCCTGGCTAAATTGCAAGGAAGTCTCAAGCGGGAACCGTTGTTGTTGTAACCCGGGGGCCAGGGGCTTAGACTGAGCAGGAAGACTTTCCCTTTCAAAAAACAGGGTGCGAGCGTCGAGGGGCACACTTTGATTGAGAAACAAAGTATGCACCGGTGGGGGGGGATCAACAATAATTATTCTTCAGAAGTGAGAATGCAACAACAGCAACAACAACCACAACAACAACAACACAACAAGCAGAATCTTCACCACGGACCCGCACTTGAGCCACGCACTTAGGGACAATGAATGACCGTTCGGCCCCCTCACTCTGATATATCAGAATGAGGGGGCGGGTGGGACGACGACGACAACAAACAATAACAACAACAACAACAACAACAACAACAACAACAGCAGCAACAACAACAACATAACAACAACATAACAACAACATAACAACAACATAACAACACAACAACAACAACACCAACAACAGCAACACCAACAACAACAACAACAACGACAACAACACCAACAACAACAACATCAACAACACTAATAATAGCAACCACAACAGCTACACCTATGATCACAACAACAGCAACAGCAACAGCGACACCAACAACAACAACGCAACACACATAATTTCCATTACGAATCCCCTATTCAGCCACGCACCCAGGGACAATGAATGACCGTTCGGCCCCCTCACTCTGATATATACATATATAAATCTATATTTATATTCACATATATATATATATATATACAGGTCTGCATTGGCGCTTCGCGCCATGCGCCTTGTTCTGGACGCTTCCCTGGCAAAGCAATAAATCATCGCTTTCTTCAGCAGGGAGGACCTCGAGGCCTGGACGGGCGACCCGCCCATTTTTCCGATATCCCGGGTGCCTGCTGACACCGCTTTCGGACGATGCGCTAGCACGCTTGTGCGCAGGAGTGGGGAAATCATGCTGATTTTTTCGCGCGCGAAGGTCCTTTGAGGAAGTAAGGAGGGGCCCCCTTGGGCCGCCTTCAACCCCTCTAGGGGGCCTCCCGGGCCGTCTTGGGGCGAGATTGGGGGCCCATTGGGCCGTCTTGGACGCTGCGTAGACCCAAAAAGCGGATATGCACAGCAAATGTATTTCCTGAGGGAATGTGACGATTTTGGCTTCTCCGGGGCTCTCTTAACGGCCTCTTGGGGTGTCTTGGGGGCCTCTTGGGCCGTCTTCAGACCATCGAGGTTCCTCTTGGAGCGCTCTTGCGCTGTCTTGGGTCTCTCTTGCGCCTCTCGAGGACCCCTCTCATCGCCTTCAGTCGGCTCGCAAGGCCCAGCGAGGCGCCCTGGAAGGCCCGGAAGGGCCACCGAACCTTTTCCAAGGGCATCCAGAGGGCCGCCGAAACGTCTGAAAGTGCGTCCGGAGCGTCCCTGGGGGAAGGATCCGGTTTTCGGGGGGGGGTCCAGGGGGGGTATGGGGGGGAGGGGTCCGGGCAAGATTGCCGATTCCAGAAAGCCTGAACCTAAAAATATGTTCATCCCTTGTGGGCGCACCATTTACTTCCGCCGCCTTCCGCCAGCCTTCCGCCGTGTTCCGCCGGCTGTGGCGGCCTCGTTTTACTTCCGCCGCCCTTCCACCGAGGAAGAGATGACAACTCCTTCGATTCTCGAAGGCAAAGCACTTTTTGGAACGCCCCCTGCGCAGTTAAATTCATGATATATATATATATATATACACACTTATATCTATATGCGATATTGGTAATACATATAATGTTAGGATTAGTATTAGTATTCGTGTTATTATGATTCTTTTAAAATTATTATTACTACTATTATTACGATTCGTATTATCATTATTATTGTCATTTTACAGGAGCAGTACACCTGACCACCCCCAGCCCTGATGATCTGGAGCTCTGAATCGCAGGAGGATGTCGACCCCATCTGTGGCGCGGATCTCGCGCGATGGGGTTGCTCTCTGCAGCGTCACCCCAAAACCCCGAGGAGGGTGACGTTAGACAGAGGCGGCCGCCCCGCCCGCCAAAATCCGGTCAGCATCGGTCCCCAGACCGACCCTTCCCGGTGTCCACACAGCCGGGGTTGACTGGAGAGGACACGCGAGATGACACGAGGTTGACTGGAGAGGACACGCGAGAGGACACAAGACCCCTCCGAGGGCCACGTTGCCATAGGAATGTGAGAAGGCATGGGTCGCCGAGCTCAGGACACAAGGGCACCCTCGACTTGGCAGGGTCGACCTACTACTGACTACCTACCAGACCACCCCAACCCAACCCGAAGACCCAAATTTGATCCGAATTTCTGGTGGGGGGGGTACGGGTTCCATGTGTTTTTTCCATGCTCCCAGACCCCCCCCCACTGGAAATCGAGGATAAATCTGGGCCTTCGGGTTGGGTTGGGGTGGTCTGGTGTGTGGTGAACTACAACTGATCACTCTCGCCGGCCCCGCCTGGACGGTTTCCCCCGGGGCCGTAGGCGACCCGAGGAGGGGAGAGCGAGGAGTGCGAGGAGGGGGGGGAGGAGGCGGAGGATGAGGATGAGGAGGAGGAGGAGGGGGAGGAAGACGAGGAGGAGGAGGAGGCGGAGGAGGAGGAGGAGGGGTCGCCTAAGCCCTTCGGAGAAACCCTCCTGCCCCGCCCCCTCCCCGAAGCGGACCTGGCCGCGGCGACGAGGAGCCCCTCCGAGCGGGGGCCCACGGCGCGCGAACCACAACTCCTCCGGGAAAAGGGCCGCCGTGGCCTCGAGCGGCCCTCCTCTCCAGACCTGAAGGGGCCCCAGGACACACACATAAATACACACAAATAAAAAGATCCCCCATATTTTCCCATATATTCTGGGTTTCTGTCTTCCCCCCCTCTTCCCATATTTTCCTCTATTTTCTGGGGAATCGACGATGAATAGTGTCTGTATGTTTTTTTCCCCTCCTGAAGATCTCCGAAGCCGTCGTCGCTGGCAGCGTGGACCCCCCCCCAGCTCAGGCCCCGCCCCTGGCACCGGCCGCTGTCACCACGAGCCCTGACTCCAGATCCGCCCTGCTTTGGCTTTTTCTCCAACTTAGAAGTGCGTCGGAAATCCACCTAGAAGAGGCCGAAGAAGTAGGGCGGAAATTGCTGCACCCAACATAAATAGGGCGGAAACCCACAGAAACAGCAACAGAAAAGTAGGGCGGAAATTGGCATCAGCGGGGCTTGGAAAGTAAGGCAGAAATTCCAAGCCCCACTTACGATTTTCCCCAAAGTAGGGCGGAGTCAGGGGCGGCCGTCCCTGGCACCGGCCGCTGTCACCACGAGCTGCTCCTTGTGACGGCCCCGGGGCCGGGTGACGGACCCCAGGGGCTCCACATCACAACACGTGCTCCGCGCAAGCGTGGATCAGCGAACCACGGATTCGGCTCGCGGTCGCCGAGTCCATGGATCGGGGGAGGTGCCCTCCCCAAAATACGGCCGGTGCCGCCTCGGTCGGCGGCGGAAATCTGCGATTTCCCTTGGAAACGGGACCCGTCGCTAATCCACGCCCCCCGCACTCGGGGAAAGATATGATGGCGTAAATCTGAACTTTCGGAGGTCCGCGTGGACTCCTCGGATCGGCGCTGAAGCCCCCTGGCGGCGCCTCCGGCGCCGCCCCTGGCGCGCTCCGCAAGCCAAGGAGAAGGAGCCAGCGCCGATCCAAGAAGTCAGCACGCACCTCCGAAAGTTTGTGGCTATCCATTGTTTGTCCCCCGACGCCACGCGAGGAGGCCCCTCCCCAGAGGCCCCCCAAGGGCCCCCAGGGAGGCTCCGAAGAAACCCCCAGGAGGCAACAAAAGGGCCTCGGAGGCCTCCTCTCCTTCCTCCTCTTCCTCCTCCCTCCACGGCGCACTCGAAGGGTCGCCCCGGCGGCTCCCCGAGATACGACGAAGCCAGTACGAGGACCATTTCGGAAGAGGATCAGAGAACTCTCAGAAATCCCGCGGCTCCGGAGGATGTCCGTCCCAGAGCTCTCTGGAACGCTCTGGGAGCGGTCCGGAACGATCTGGAGCGGATGGATCCTCGCCCAAAACCCCGCCCGACGGCATGCCACGCTCCCAAATCCCCGCACAGGAAAAACAGAACCTGCCATCTCTTGGGAGGCCGATGTCTACTTCCGCCAGCTTCCGCCGGCCTTCCGCCACTGTCCGCCGGCGGAAGCGGCCTCTCTTGGGAGGCTTGATGTCTACTTCCGCCAGCCTTCGCCGGCCTCCCGCCACTGTCCGCCGGCGGAAGCGGCCTCGCCTACCTTCGGGCGGCTTCCGCCGCCCTGCCTCTGCCCTCCGCCGAGGAGTAGTAGATGGCGACTCCTCCGATCCTCGCAGGCGAGGCCGTCGTCGGAGCGTGCCATCTCGGCACCGCGCGGCGGCGTTCGGCAGCGCAGATGCCGCGCGCGCGCGCGCCGCGCGCGCCGCTCGTTTCTGTTGCAGTGCGATGTCCAAGGCTTGCTCGCTGTGTTTGCCCTGCCTGCCAGGGCCAGCAGGCGCACCTCTACTTAGGAAGCAGCTCCTGGAAAGTCTTCGTGAGAACGATGAAGGGCAATTCAGACAGCTTGATGACGGAGTCATTGGGCCCAGATTCGGCCGGGCTTACGCGTGGGGTTCACCCGGACTAGGCCGAATGAAACGAAATTGGGCCGGATTGAGCGGGACTTTGCGGGCTCTGGCCAGGATTACGCGGGGTTGTACTGGATTGTGCGGGATTTGGGGGCAAACTAACCTACCTCGCTTTTGACCACCCTCGCTTCCAAGAGATACCAAGCGATGCCAAACTACGGCCTGTACTGGTCAGGCCGCTTGACGAGGCGGCGCGTGGTATGACCTGGATTTGCCTGGAAGCGAAAGCGGGGTAGGTAATTCACGCTCTGAGGGATTCACGGGTGCAGTACAGGCGGGGCGTTGACCTAAGGAACCCTAAATAAGGAACGAGCCATAAGTTCAACTTCGATTTCCGATCGAAGACATAAGGAAAACCTGAGGCAAGCTGCGAAACAATTAAGGAGCACGGAGCCCCTCCCCAACGAAAAGGGTTCCTTCTTCAGGGCCCCGACTGTAGCGTCGATGCTGAATTGAACCTCCCAGGAGTTGCATCCTAGCTCTGGGTTGCCAGAGGTGCGGGCCTCGGCGGCGCACTCGACGGGTCGGCTCGGCGGCGTTGGTGTCGGCGCCGCGGGGCGGTCCGCACTGACCAGCCTCGACCTGGCTCTCCGTGCCGAAGATTGACGAGCTCAAAGGCGAGGACAATCGCATGGATGCGCTACACGGAAGAACTCAGAGAGGCCTGACGATCGGCAGCAAGAGGAGGTGATGGCAACGGTCGGAATCGTGGCATGTTTCAGGCTGGTGAAGCATGCCGCGCCGTGAGATTCGAGGTCGCAACATACGCACGTAGATTGCAACAGCGTGAAAAATCTCGGCCAGATGCCCACAATCTGGCCACATTTCGGTGGCAACTCATGGAAGCCTCCCATGCCATCTTGTCGGCTCTTGCGAATCGACGCTAATCGACGCTAGCTCACGCAAATTGACGCTACATCGATGCTGAATCGACACTAATTGCCGCTAGCCGACGCTCAATCGGAACATCTGATCGATTCCCGGACGCTAATCGACGCTAGCCGACGTTAAAGACGGATGTGAAAGGGGAAGTATGGCCCCAATATGTGCGACCGAAAGGTTGCAACATCGTGAGACATCTCGGCCGGCTGCCCACCATCTGGCCACGTCTCTCTGCAGCACTTCTCGAGCCAGGTCGCTCTGCGAGGGCCCTGATGAGGCCAAAGCCAGCGCAGGACACGCACGGTGGCAAAGCAGAAAAAGCAACGCCAATACAGCCGATTAAGAAACCTGGGCCAGCATTCCTAAGTTTCCTAAAACCATCCTGAGTCAGCTTCTGTTGTTAATGCTGGAGGGTCGGACGTGCTCAAGAAGATGGGCCAACTTTCTGGCAAGTTGGCCAGGAAACGGTGGGCCAGCTTTTCGGGAGGAGAGTTGCTAGTCAAATGCTCGACCGAATCTCCACCCGCACGGCTGCCGCGCATGTGCCGCTCGTACGCGCGCGTTTTGCTCGGCGCGCCAGAATTAGGTACGGAAAAGGGGTACGATGCCAAGCAACACATGTTGTGCTAAACCGACAGCGGCCGCTGCTGGGCACGCAATCTCCTGTCCCGGATGGACCACGTCCACGGCGTCGCCGACAACGTGTCCTGCCCCAGATGGGCAGGGAACTTCTGCCGGCCTTCGCAAACCCTGAGACCCGACGACGCGACGAAATTACAACATAATGAAAAATCAAGACCGCAGCCCCGGGCCCCTTCGTTCTGCTGCACCTTCCGAGCCGGATCGATCTGTGAGGCTCCTGGGGCCCGAGATCGTGCGACGACGCCCGGCCGGAAACAGCTTGCGACGCCATATATGGATCTCAGGGAGCGTCTCTCCGTACCAGCCTCGATCGCCCCGATCAGCGCTCAGCGCTCACGGGCTGGCCCCGGCCGCCTCCTCTGACGAACGAACAACACACACCCATACCCATAAGGGCGGTCGTTGCGAGGATGACTCGGTATGGGTATGGGTGCGGGTTGTCGGACCCCGGGGAACGCTCCCGTTCGAGCGGGGACCCCCATCCGACAACACGCACCCATAGCCCTCTCCGACCCCCTATGGGTATGGGTGTGTGTTGTTGGTTCGTCATCCTCGCCACGGGCGAGCCCGCGCGATCCGCCCGCGCCCGCCGCGGCGGCGAGGCGGCGCTCCGCCCGGAGGGCGCTGCGCTCGCCGAAGCCCCGCCTCGGCGCCTGCCGTCGGGAGGGGGGGCCCCGATCTCCGACGGCACGCCCAAGCTGCGAGGGGGGGAGGAGGAGAGGGGAGGAGGAGCACGAGGAGGAGGACGGGGAGGACGGGGAGGACGGGGAGGAGGGAGGAGGAGGAGGAGGAGGAGGAGGAGGAGGAGGAGGAGAGGAGGAGGAGGAGGAGGAGGAGGAGGAGGAGGAGGAGGGAGAGGAGGAGGAGGAGGAGGAGGAGGAGGGGGAGGAAGAGGAGGGAGGAGGAGGGGAGGAAGGAGGAGGAGAGGAGGAGGAGGAGGAGGAGGAGGAGGAGGAGGAGGAGGAAGGAGGAGGAGGAGAGGAGGAGGAGGAGGAGGGAGAAGGAGGAGGAGGGGGGGAGGGGGAGGAGGAGGAGGAGGGGGGGAGGAGGAGGAGAGGAGGAGAGGAGGAGGAGGAGGAGGAGGAGGAGGAGGAGGAGGAGAGGAGGAGGAGGAGCAGGAGAACAGGAACAACGCAGCAGCTCTGAGGCTTGTGTTGGTTCAACGGAAAAAAAGGAGGAGGACGAGGAGGAGGAGGAAGAGGAGAAGGGGGAGGAGGGGAGGAACTGAAGGGGGAGGAGGAGGGGGAGGAGGAGGAAGAGGAGGAGGAGAAGGTGGATGATGATGATGATGAGGAGGAGGAGGAGGAGGAGGAGCAGGAGCAGGAGCAGGAGGAGGAGGAGGAGAGGAGGAGGAGAGGAGGAGGGGGAGAAGGAGGAGGAGCGGGAGCACGAGGAGGGGGAGGAGGAGAAGGAGGAGGAGGAGGAGGAATAGGAGGAGGAGGAGGAGGAGGAGGAGGAGGAGGAGGAGGAGGAGGACCAGTGTAGACCCAAGGGTCATCAACGATGTTGGAATTAACCCTCCCTCCAAATTCCCTCTTCACAAGCCCCTAGAACATCCCATTTCCATTGAGGGAACTGCCTCGTTGGAAGACAGCCGTTTGAAGATCCTGACCCATGCCAAAACATTGTTCTCGGGATTTCGAATCAACCTGATTGCTGCTCTCTGGCGATCCGGAATCGTGCAATGATTTCAACACCGCGAATCCACATAACTGTTGCACCCGCATAATCCTGAACCCTTCCAAAACACCATGTGTGGTACGCTGATCATGGGAATCAATGGAACTCTTGCAGATTTCAAAAACGGGCATGCGCGGCGCAAGGGCGAGAGCGACATTTTGAAAAGGAACAGCCCTCAATCCCGTGAAGCTCTTGCAATTGTTAACCCAGAATGCGTGCGGCGCTGAGGCGAGAACCACATGTTGAAAAGGAACCGCCCTAAATCCGTGAAAAGAGTGTGCGCGGTGCTGAGGCGAGAACCACATTTTGAAAACGAACCGCCCTCAATGTGTGAAACTCTTGAAAGTTTTGAAAACGAATGTGCGCGGCGCTGAAGCGAGAACCACATTTTGAAAACGAACCGCCCTCAATCTGTGAAACTCTTGAACATATCGAAAACGAATGTGCGCGGCGCTGAAACTCGTTTTGAAAACGAATGTGCGCGGCGCTAAGGCGAGAGCCGCATGTTGAAAAGGAGCCGCCTTCAATCCGCGAAACTCTCGCATATGTTGAAAAAACAATGTGCGCGGCGCTAAGGCGAGGGACATTTTGAAAACGACCCGCCCTCCATTTGTGAAACCGTTGTCACTTTTGAAGCTTCAGGGTCATACATGGTGGGGAAGTCTCAGGCGAAACGCCCGGCCCGCACTAAAAACTTGCCTCGGGGTGCGACAGGGACGAGTAATCTACAAGGAGAAGGAATGTAGAAGGAGGAGGAGGAGGGGGAGGAGGAGAAGGAGGAGGAGGAGGAGGACGAGGAGGAGGAGGAGGAGGGGGAGGAGGAGGAGGAGGAGGGGGAGGAGGAAAAGGGGGAGGGGGAGGACGATCGCGTCGTTCGAGCGTTGGACGAGCCAGGCAGCCCGCCCCCGGGGTCGCCTGGGGAGGGCGGCTACGGCCGCGGTCGCCGCGCTACCACAGTCGAACAACCTAAAACAGAAAAACACCCTTCAAGAGCATGCGACCCTCCGCCGGCCAAAAGCACACAGAACATTCGAGGGTACCCTCCCAAGGATGCAGAAGAACATCCAACCAGTACGAAGAACATGAGGGTGCCCCCTCCCCGGGCCGAACTCGATCGTACACCTCGGTCTGGCTCTCTGCCACTAGGCGCGCCAGCTGAGCCACGAACAGAGAGAGGCCTTACGGCGTTGCGCGCAACGGCGCAGGGGGACCTTACGCGGTGGCTTACGCGAGCGTGGCCCTCTCTAGGGTTAAGTCGGGCCTGTCCCCCTACAGGGGGATTTTCGATGAAAAATGAAAACTACCCCAAAAATAATCAAAACATGCTCCAAAAATAGTACGGGGACTGTTTTTTGATTACTTGTTTGGCCATTTTGGGATATCGTTGGGGCAGTTTTCCTTTCTCGTCGAAAATCCCCCTGCAGGGGGACAGGCCCGACCCAACTCCAGGGCGACGAGCGAGATCGGATACCCATCCGCTGCCCCGGGCCTGGCCCCCGCTGGGCCGGGGGAGCGGTGTCCACGCCTCCCCGGCCGAGCCAGGACGTCGTGCGCACCGCTCAGGGGGGCTCCTCTGGGCGTGCGCCCGGTGGACAGCCACGCGGCGCCAGGCGAGCTGGAGCACGAGGTGACGAGCAATCATCATGATACCCCGAACCCTCTGGGAGGGGGCCCAGGTCAGGAGGCCCAAAGCATCAGGGGCAGGGGGTCGTTTCTGCAGGTGTGTCAGACCAGCTCGCCCAGACTTGCGATCCCTGCTGCGAAGAAGGAGGCCTCGGGGAGGCCACGTCTTCAGTATGCGAGTCGGACTAGGGATTATTTACCCTCGATGATGGAGAGAGCCTCGAGCATACCGCCGACCGTCAGCGTGACAAGCCGCGTGAAGAAGAGGGCGGCTACGCGCGACCTCACATGGGAAGCTCAAGAGCGACTGTTGGCGCAATCGACCACGTTTTCTTCCGTCGCGCAACGGAGGAACGAGGCGTCCTGTCTCCTCTCCCGATCTCGAGAAGCCTGTCAAGCCTCATGTTGCTCCCATCTTCCTGAAGGACCGAACCCCACAAATAATGCCGAGCACCCAGGAAAGTATCGAAACAGGGTCTGCCCGACACGCTAGCGAAGTATTGATCGAATCTCGCCTCCCAAATGGAAAACCCTCCAGTTTCGGTATTTCCTTGGTGCTCGAAATGTTTCATGATTAGAACATCATATGTCCAGCCGTTGGCCTGCCCGCTTGTGCTCATCGGCTCTCTCGCAAGCTACCTGGGGCCTCCTGGTCCCCTCTCAAGGTCGGGGAACTTGCTGGACGGCATCTCAACTATTCGCATCATGATCCCGAGGAGCAACCAAACTGTAACTGGTCAGCGCGAGATGCGCGCAATAAGCATTTAAATGAGTTCTGGTGAGACAAACGGGAGAAGCGAAGAAAAAGGTGGACACTCGTGCTCCTGATTCGGCTCGCTTTGCAAATGTATTCAGGATCCAAGAAACCACGAACCCCCCTTCCGATCGCGGAGACGTAAGACTCACTCGGGTAGGGGGAATCGGGTTTTGGCCTGACGCGGCCATCATGAAAATGTCGAGACCCACTCTGAAACTTGACGCGAACTCCCGCTGCAAACATCCCGCGAAAACTGAACCGCTAAAATCCAGGACAGGCTTGTCAAAACACGTTGGCAAACCCAAGCTCCGGCGTACTCGAGTCTTATGTTTCCTCGATCCGAACACGACCTAGCTCTCCTTCCCCGAGCCCTGCGAACGGGGCGTTGATAAACGGGCCGGTAGCTAAGAGTGCATTGCCACTGGTGTTCTCAAAACATCAGTGTGCCGAGCAGCAGTGCGAGGCAAACCCCCCCGCCCAGAGCTCTGATGACGCATCGACGTCTTGGCCATCCCGATCTATCACGCACTAGTGCGAGGTCACTGCCCCGTCGCCCCGTCCTCGCCTGCAGAGGCCCCTTTGGCCACCGCCCCGCTCACGAACGCCCCGCCTGCAGGGGCTCGGCTCCCCACTGGCCGCTGACCTCCGCCGCTCCTCGGGGCTCCCACTCCCGCCGGCTCCCGCCGGCCTCCCGCCGAGGGCGAAGAGGTGCGCGCGCCGCAGGTGGGGCCCCCCCCTGCTGAGAGTGCGCCGCGCGTGTGGCACCTCACGCGACCTCCACGAGAGAGCGACGATCAAAAGCGGGTCCTACGCAAGATGGCACGGCGACCTTACGCGGTGGCTCAAGCGGGCCGCCAGCGCGGCATGCTGCGCTGGAGGAGGGCGCCTGCGCGCGACCTGGCGCGGGCAGCTTACGCGCCAACGTCGGCGAAGGCGAGCCCGTTTTATTGCGTCGCTCACATGCAAGCGCAACACGAAAACTGAACCGCCAAAACGCACGCCGCGACCGCTAGCAAACGGCCCCAGACACCTCCAAGGCGGCCCCCACGAGGACCCCGAGAGGCCAACATCATGGATGGATTGCCGCTCGGTCTTCACCAGGTACCAGATTTGGGCGCTCTCGCCTTTTCGGCTGCCCGATGCTCCCACAGACGGCCCTGGAGGCCCCCAAGGGGCATCCAAGAGCGCATGCCAAGAGCGCATGCACAATCATCAAAGAAACGGGTCCTAGACTCCGGAGCCTTCTCTCGGACGAGATTATTCCCAAGTCAGCGCTTGCACTGAAGAGGTCCTAGCAGATCTTGAGAGAATAGGCGAATGTACGGCGCCAAATTCGGTAGGCAGCCGGGTCCTCCCCGGGCAACGGTCACGATCATACAAAGGGGGGGGGGCTAGACCCTCCTAGATGCTTGTGCTCGCAATACCATGGCGATCGCAACGCACCCCTGCCCCGACGTGCCCCACTCCACCCAAGCGTTACCGTTGCCCGCCCCCCCCCAGGGAAACGTGCCTTACCAGAGATGAGAAAAAGCAACCTCGACCAGCTACTCATCCCGAGCCGACAGCACAGGGGAACGCAGGAGCCCAAAGATGGCGAACAGCCTTCACGGCCCGATTCCCTCAGGACCTCCGCCCTTCGCGGCGAGATTTCGGCGCCCGGAATGGGGGGTTCCCCCTCCTCGTGCGCGTTTTCTGATTCGGCGTTTCGACATTGGGCGGAAGGGGGGGGGAGGCGCGGGTCTGGCTCCGGACCTCTGCATTCTGCGACTGTTTGCAACCGTGCGTCCCATGGGGGGAGACCCCACCTGCTCGAAACAGGCGCCCAAAACAGCCAGCATCTACTCCATGGGGGTGGGAGGGGAGGGGGGGGGGTGCGAGGACCCGCGCCGATCGGCAAACAATGAATGAGAAAACTATCACCTCCCCACAGGCTGCTTGCACAGTCACTCTGCGCCCCAGCGGGCCCCCCGTCTTTCCCCATGTCTTGTAGCCCCCCTCTGCTGACTGCACCAACTTACAACTAAATTTGCTGGCCACCGTGCCTGAGCCGGTTTTATTACTCGCACCATGCCAGTGGCGATTTTACCATCCTGACGCTATCGGGGAACAACGAATAGCATAAACATAAGCTTTGGGAGGTCGCGCGGATGTTTCAGATCGGCGCTGGACCCCCCTCCCTGGCGCGCGGAGCGCGCCAGACTGAACCCCAACACCGATCCGAGAAATCCGCGCGTACCTCCGAAAGATTGTGTGTAACTGTGTCATTGTTTGCTTCCCGTCGCTGCGGTCCCAGTCGATCTCAATTCTCCCCATGGGGCCACGAAACGTGTGCAGGGTGTGCCGGAGGGGTCTGGGGGACCGCATGCGGTGGGTCCCACTGAGGCATTCGATGAAGCTCCCTGGTGTGGCCACGACACGTGCGAGGGGCGTGCCGAAACGGCCTGGGAGACCGCGATCGGTCTGTCCCACCGAGGCCTTCGGTGGAGCTCCTTGTGTGTGCTGTGTTGTTGTTGCTGCTGCTGCTGCTGTTATTGCTGTTGTTGTTGTTGTTGTTGTTGTTGTTGTTGTTGTTGTTGTTGTTGTTGTTGTTGTTGTTGTTGTTGTTGTGTGTATGTGTGTGGGTGTGGGTGTGGAGGGGGGGGGCGGGGGGCAGTAGGAGCCAGACCACAAGAGACATTCCACGAGAAACCCAACCCTGAGGCCCCAAGGCGTCCGTCGATATTTTTGGCGCGGGACGTCACGCGTTCCGCCGCGAAACCACACAGCACCCAAGAAACCCAGAGCACCCTGGAGGCAAGAAGGATGTTTCTTGGCATGGGTCTCCAATGTAGCGGGACGAGGCGACGCGGGGCACGGCAGATTCAAAGCGAGGAGGGAAAGCAAAGGAGAGAGACGGGCGCCTGCCCCGGACCCGCGCTGTCGGAGTGCCCCCTCCGCAGCGGCGCGGCGGGCGCCAACAGGACGCCCCGGGCAGCGGTGGAAGCGCGGCCGCCCTGCTGCCCCCGCGGCGAGACGCGGGTCCTGCCGCAGAGGGGGGGGGGCCGCGGCTGCAGGCCGGAGTGGCGGGCCTGGCGCCAAGGGGGCCGCGGGGAGAGGTGCAGCCGTGCTCGCAGGGCCCTGCGCGCCGGATGCAGCAGCTGTGCGAGGGCTCCGCTGGGTACCTCTCAGCGCATGCAGCCGCTCTCGCCAGTGCAGTGCTTGGAGGCCCGAGTCGGGAACGGAAGCCTTTGGTACGACGCCCAGGAGCACGTGTGCTCCAAAACCGACAGCGGCCGCCGTTGGGCAGCCCAACGTCTGTATCGAATGGGCAGCATCCGCGGGGACACCGACAGCGAACCCAAGCCAGAATGCACAGGAACTGCTCCCGGTCTTCGTACCGCGGGTACGTGCCGGCGGTGTTCTACCTGGAACGCCGGCGGTGGGGGCGCCGCCTGTCGACTCGACGCGAACCCACCGCACCCACTCGTTCCGTAACCGTTCCGATCGTACAGACAGCAATACAGTCGGGGCCCTGAAGAAGGAACCCTTTCGTTGGGGAGGGGCTCCGCGTTCCCTAAGTGTTTCACAGCTTGCCTCAGGCTTTCCGTATGTTTTCGACAGGAAATCGAAGTTTACCTTATGGAAAAAAGGGGCCTCGTTCCTTATTTAGGGTTCCTGAGGTCAATGCCCCGACTGGAGTTCGCGCCCTCCCCCCCCGGAACAGTCGCGCCGAGATCGGGAGCACACTCCCTCGGTGGAGGCACACCGCCCAAGAGTCGGTGCTGCTGTCTCAACCCCTGGGCCTCCCACCGTGCCCACAGCCGGCAGGGATGGGATGGTGGGGACAGGGCGGGGGAGGAGGGATTCGGTGGCACGGAGCTGAGCCTCGCGATACCTACTCCACATTTCGTAATAGAAGGGAGGGGGTCTGGACCCTCCAAGACAAGCCATTTCAGACCTCCCCCGTGGGAGAACCCTCCAAAACATCGTCCCCAGACCCCCCAGGCCCTCCAAGATAGCATGGAAGAGACCCCCCCCCGAAATGAGACCCCCCTCCCTTTATTACGAAATCTGGAGTAGACCCCCGACGTCACGAAGATTGTGTCACGACGTCGACCCCGATCGAGATCTCGACCTCCCTGGCACTGGTTTTTCCTCCGGAGTCGTTTTCTGACGGCCCCGAGGCCCGGTGAGGGCCTCAAGAGGCCGAACACTGTGAAGAACCTCCCGTCGTGGTCTTGTCGTTGCTCGAGGGGGTCTGGGTACAGGCTGGCCCTGGGAGCCTGGGAGGGGGGGGGAGCTCGCCATCGCTCGGACGTCCATTTTTTGTGTTTTTTTTGGTCTCGTGCGTGCTTTTTTTTTTGCTCTTAGGTCGAGGATCGTCCTCCATGGTTCTCGCCGAGAAAGAGTGCACACGCCCGAGCGATGCGAGGGGAGCGGCAAGCCACTGCTGGGCGGCCCTGGAACAGAAAGCACAAGACCTCGCCTGCCCGGGCCCGGCAGGCGCCGCCCGCCAGCCGCTGCACGCCGCTGCGGCAGAGGCGGCCGCCATACCCCGCACCGCACCCGCCCGCACCGGAGCCGCCGGGGACGCGCCACCCCGGGCGGGTCAGCTTTGGACGCCCGCCCTGACTCCGGATCCGCCCTACTTTTGGGAAATTCGTAAGTGGGGCTCGGAATTGCCGCCTTACTTTTCAAGCCCCGCTGATGCCAACTTCCGCCCTACTTTTCTGTTGTTGGTTCCCCGCCCTACGTCTGTGGATTGTCGCACTACTTTATGTTGGGTGCAGAAATTTCCGCCCTACATGTTCGGCTCCTTATAGGTGGATTTCCGACGCAATTTTAAGTTGGAAAAAAAGCCAAAGTAGGGCGGACATTTTCGGCTCCTTATAGGTGGATTTCCGACGCAATTTTAAGTTGGAAAAAAAGCCAAAGTAGGGCGGATCTGGAGTCAGGGCGAAGTGGGCACGAGGGAACCCAGACCCCCTCGAGTAATGAGAGAAATCATGACGGGAGGTTTCTCACCATGTTCGGCCTCTGGGGAGCATGGTCTCGACTCAGGGCCGTGAGCAAAACTGCTCGGGATGACAAGCCGGTCCCGGGGAATAGGTCGAGACCTCGGAGAGTCGACGCCATGGAAAAATCATGACGTCGGGGGTCTGGGAAATGGGTACGCTGCCCAACAACAAGTGCTGTCCAAAACCGTCAGCGGCCGCTGTTGGGCAGGCGGCCTCCTGCCTCAAACGAACAGCGTCCGCGGCGGCACCGACAGCAAGTCCTGTCCGCAGGGAACCAGAACAGATGTCGGCCTTTGTGCCCATTCTTTCCGTACACGTGTCGATCAGCGCCGACCCCAGCCATGACCATCGCCACCCCCGGCCGGCCACGAAGACGCTGCCCACCCTGGGGTCAGCCACGGACCGGCTGGCGCACGGCTCCGAAACCCTGGTGGATGGGAAGGGCCTTTACTCGTCCCCACCCTTGGCGCCGACCCCCGCCTCTCGCCATCGCTCGGACGTCCATTCCCTGTGCTGTTTTTTCCGGTTTCGTGCGTGTGTTTTTTTGTTCGCCAAATGGTCAAGGATGCTCCTCGATGGTCCTCGCCGAGGAAAAAATGCAGGGGCCCCAGGACACACAAATAAATACACACAAATAAAAATATTCCCCATATTTTCCTATATTTTCTGGGCTTCTGTCTTCCCAACCACTTCCCATATTTTCCCATATTTTCGGGGGAATCGAGGATTAATTGTGTCTGTGTGTTTCTTTTCCTCCTGAAAAAAATGCACACGTCCGAGCGATGCCAGGGTCTCCGTGCGCCCCCCCGGGGCGCAGACCTCGGACGCCGTGCCCCGCGCTGGCGTGCGGGCCATGGCTCGGCTCTCGGGCCGCCGCTCTCGGGGCCATCCCGGCATGCGGGCAGCGCTCGCGACGAGGCGCAGCTGCTCGACGGCGCCCCGGGGTCCCCGATCCGGGGATCTTCTGACCCGGGTCAATCCAGACCCGGGTCAGCAGGAAACCAAAAACTGCAATGCAGGAAAAAAAACTGCAACGCAAATCTTCGCAAACCCGGGTTAGTCAATATGTGCGGCCGCCTCGCGGCCACGAGCGGCTCCCTAACCCGGGTCAGTCAGAGGGGGTCTTCGCAGGATCCTGCAGGATCTGGCGCCCTGGCTGACCCCCGTCTGCATTGACCCCCGTCTCAGGGCTCCCGACCGATCCAAGACCGACGTCGGCCGGCCCGACCCGACTCGATGCCGAGAACTGCTCCGACGATCCGGAGCGGCACGGTGCCCGGGTGGCGCCGCTGTGCACCTTGGCGCGGCGGGATCGATCCGACGTTCGACGCCAAGCCGATGCAGCCCGAGCCGACACACGTTCCGATTTATGTTGCTCCCATCTAAGGACCACATCCCAGAAATAATTTCGAGCACCCAGAAAAGTGTCGAAAGAGTGTCGAAACAGTGTCGAAAGAGTGTCGAAAGAGTGCCCCCCAGGGCCCGACACGTGAACACCTTCGATTTTTGGGGTGTTTTCTTGGGTGCTCGAAATTAATTCTGGTGATCAAGGCTAAAATAGGTTGGAACATCATAAGTTCCGATCCGATCCGGCTTCCCGACGCGATGCTGACCGATGCTGCGGCCAAGCGCGGAGAGGGCCCCCTGGGAGCCAGAGATTGCGCAAGGGGATCGGGGGTCCAGTCCAGGGGGCCCAGACATTCGATGCCATGATTTTCCTAAACGGGGTCCCCGTAAGTCCAGACCCATTCCCCGAGGCAAGCTTTTCATCCTGAGTCGTTTCCTGATGGTCCTGGAAACCCGAAAACGGCTTCCAAATACAGAAAAGAATGCCGACAAACAAGCGTCGCTATGATTCCGTACGTCGACGAAATGTTGCATCACTTTTGCCGCGAATTGTCAGCTGTATTGGATTGCTCCTCCCCCCCCCTCCCCCTGATCTTAATATTGGGCACATGGCAAAGGTCCCTTGGCGCCCCCCCAGGGCTCGCGACAGAATGTTGCACCACCGAGCCGTTTCGATGAACCCGGGACCGCAGCCAATGTTAAGATTGGGGGGAGGGGGGGGAGGAAGCGAACATCCATTGCAAAATCGGCTTGCTTTCTTGACATCACCAGGTGGTGCAACATTTGTCGATGTACCGTTTCACGACGCGAGGCGGTCTGGGTCTGGCAGTCCACCGCCGACCTTCAGACCTGTCCAGGGGTGCGTCGTGGCCAACTTGGAACCCTCGCCCCTCGATCCTCGAATCCCGATCCGCAACTACTTCGCTACGGGCTCTCGCAGGCCTCGAATCCACAGAGGCCCGTAGTTGTCGGGGTTGGACAGGCCCCCCTTTAGTAAAACGTGGTTTAGTGAAAACGACCTGGGGCCCAAACCTGGCGGGCGCAAGCCTGGAAAACAACGGCCACGGCGCCCTCTCGAGAACCGAAAACTGACAATTCACGAATCGACGTGTCACTGTTGGGGCTTCTGTCCACCTCCGAAGCTGAGGGGACTCCGCGATCGTCCTCCGGACCCGTCCTGGGGCACGTCCTGCGCCACATCTCGGGGCGGACCCCGCCGTGGCGACGAGGAGGCCCAGGATGCCCAGAGCCCCGACTGGCCATCGCTCGGACGTCCTTTCCCTGTGCTTTTTTCGGTCTGGTGCGTGGGTTTTTCGCCAAACGATCAAGGATGCTCCTCGATGGTCCTCGCCGAAGGAAACATGCACACGTCCGAGCGATGCCAAGCCGACGTCATGATTTTGTCAAGAATACGACCCCCAGAGGTCTCGACCCATTCCCCAAAACCGGTTTTCCATCCCGAGTCGTTTCTTGATGAACCAGGGGCCCGGTAAGGGCCCCTGGAGGCCAGGACCTCCCGTCGTGCTTTTTTCACAGCGCGAGGGGGCCTGGGCATGGGCCATTAGAACAACAAGACGCCCAGAGGTCTGGGCCCTTTCCGAGGCACGGCTCTTTCACCCCGTCGCGAGTCGCTACCTGGCAACGCGCCTGGGCCCGACGCGCCGGGACCCGCCAAGGCCCCCCCAAGGGCCGCAGAATCGGCCCAAAACTGTCCAATGTGCTTTTTGGGGGGATCCTCGAGCCTCGATCTCACCGACGACGACGACGATGACGACGACGACGTCGCCGACGCCGACGCCGACGCCGACGCCGACGCCGACGCCGACGCCAACGCCGACGCCGACGCCGACGCCAACGCCGACGCCGACGCCGACGACAGCGACGACAGCGACGACAGCGACGACAGCGACGACAGCGACGACAGCGACGACAGCGACGACGACGACGACGGCGCCGGCGCTGGGGCCGACGCCGACGCCGACGCCGACGACGACGACCCCGCGGCTCCGCGCGACGCGCTGCGAGACCGAGGCCGCTCTCCGCGTGCGCCGGCCGGGGCTCTCCTGGGCCGGCCAGGGCCCCATGGGGGGGGCTCCGTGCTTCTTTGCCCCTGCCCAAAGAGGTGCTCACTCTGATGTGCGTGTGTATGGTATGTGTGTGCGTGTGTTATGTGCGTGTGTTTGTGGCTCCTCCTCATGCTCTTCCTCCTGCTCCTCCTCCTCCTCCTCCTCTTCCTCCTCCTCCTCTTCCTCCTCCTCCTGCTCCTGCTCCTGCTCCTGCCGATTCCTGCTCCTGCCGTTTCCTGCTCGTCCTCCTGTTCTTGCGGAGGGGGTTGTATTGTTGAGCTCTCATCTCTGAACAAGAACAAATGTATAGATCCCCCTTCTGGTGCACCTTGTGTGTTTTTCAATCGAAGTTTCCATCACAGGGCTCGCACCCTGCTTTAAACAACAGCATCAGCAACAGCAACATCAACATCAGCATCAACAACACTCATTTTAAAACTGTTCGCTCTTACTGGCTCGCGTGTCTTGCAGTCTGTATACCCCAACCACCGATACCCGCCCACTTCGTCTTCGATTGCACCTCCTTTCGGGGGGAATATCTTCCTTTGCGGGACGGGAAAATGACCACAGCCACTGCTTCTTGTTTGCGCCGCCTTCCAGCCGGCCGAAAAAGAAGCAGTGGTTGTGGTAATTTCCCTGGTGCCAAGCTTAACGAAAATGGCCACAACCACTGCCTTGTTTCTGCTGGCTGGAAGGCGGCAACAAAAGAAAAGCAGTGGCTGTGGTCGCTTTCACGCCCCGTATCCTTGTCGGCCACTGACTGAAGTACGAGGACATCTCGAGCGAGAGCGCCGTTCCTGAGCTCTGGGGCCTCGCTGGCCAGGGGCTCTCGGAACACACGTCGCCGCGAGCGGGAACTCTTGTCGCCGTGTCTGGGCCTCCACCCGACTTGCCCGAATGACGAGAAAGTCTCGAGCGAGAGCGACACTCTTGAGTTCGGGGGCCTCTCTGGCAAGGGCCTTTGCGAGTACATCTTGAGGCATATATCGAACGAGAGCCCTTGTCGTCGCAGTTGGGCCTCCACCAATTTGGCTGAATCGCAAGAACGTCTCGAGCGAGAGCGCCGTTCCTGAGTTCGGGGGCCTTCCT